CAGAAGTAATGATGTTTAATTCACTTTACTTCACTTCTGAAAATGAGATTGAAGTGGTACTTATTTTAACAATAAGAGCGTAGCAGTCCCGTCATTGAAAAGCTTTTTAAAATAATGGTTATTCCAGTTTGCATCAAAGTTAATAAGCAATAATTAACAATGAGTTGATTATATCGTTCCCTAAGCTCTTCTTAAGCATAAAAATAGATGTTTAAATTTAAGCCTCCATTTAATGGCTCCTTAAAGTGTTCTTTAACCCAGGACATGCTCGGAGCTTGCGCAGAATATGCATTGTACTTGTATTTTGTATTTTTAATTTAAAAAAGAAAAAGAACGAATGACATGTTTGATGATTTAGAAATTTTAGCAATGAGCGTTTTTTTTTTAAATTTATATTTAGAAAGTACACATCACAGTTAATTGATTTCTCGCTCAAAAGAATTAATAGTCCAATCACTGAAGGCGAAAATAAGGTAAAAGCTCCCAATTTTTTTTCGGATAGCATGGATTTTCCTGAAAATTTGCATACAAGCTCATCTGACCCCCACTTCAAAAGTTATATTGTCTAGATGTGTGCTTTTTTCCATTAGGGGGGTAAAAACTACCCTTGTACGAAAAAAATGCGAAAATCGAAGATTAACGTATTTTAAAGATTCAATTCACGTTCAAATATGTTGGATAAAGTTCCTTTCATGTTTTTTTAATATAATTTATGAAATTTAATTACTTTTCCACCCTTAAAAATCCTTAAAAACTATCCTTCCCTGGCCAAAAAAAATAGAAAAAAAAGTTTTTAACAGTTTAAAATATTCCTTTGGTGCATTCACAATGTATTGCATTTCTTTTATTATTCATTAGACAGCTTATTATAAAGTTGCAACCCTTAAAAACCATCCTTTATAATAAAATAAACAAAAAAATATTATTGAAAGCTTGAGATGTTTTAATGGTATGCATATGTTGAATTTTAAACTTTTTATTGGTTTTCAAATGATCTATGATATATTGCAACTTTTCAACCATCCAAAAAACGCTTGTGGAATACCTACCCTTCATATAAAACCCTATACCCTTCATAAAAAAACCTACCCCTTATAGAAAAATTTCCTAAAAATTATAATGCGAGTATAATAATATACCTAATTATTTTTTTTTTAATTTTATCGAATTTATTAATATTTTTTTATTAAATTAATATCAAATAAAAAAAATTTTTATATACATTATAAATGGATTATTGTACAAAATGTTTTAATAATGGTCTGTTATTTTTTGCATGTTTATATAAAAAAATATTTAATTTTCATCACTATCATCACTATCTTCAGCTTCGCCTTGGTCCAAAATTGGAGGACAATTGTTACAATTATCGCTAGAACATGAACCACGCGTGGGATTGCAAAAAAGTGCAACTTTTCTGCAACCACATATTGCGCCGCAGCCTTTTTTGCAATTGCAAAATATCATCCTAAGTAGTTCATCTGGTGCAGGCTTTTTTTGCATTTTTATTGGTTGCAATGTGTGTGTATGTATATTATTAAAATACTTACTCGAATCAGTTCACAAGTGCTCCAAAATACACAAAGATGATGGTAATTTACTCGCTCCGAAAATTTTACCGAAAAAAATGCGATTAATTTTTTTACCATAACTTTTGTAATTTTAAAGTTATAAATTTACTCAAAAAACCAGGGAATTTAAAGTCCTTTAAGTTCTGTGATTTGCAGTTTTTTAAGCCCTTCGTTTTTTAGATTTGTAAGCTAAAAGGGCTTAGGAAAGGCCGCCTTGGAGCTTAGTTTTGAGCTTCTAACGGTCATAACTCAGTCAAATTTTGTCCTACAAAAATTTAAAAAAAGCAAATTGTTCAGTAAGAAAAAACCTACAATTTCTTATTCTATCACTTTTTTATAACTCACTGCTAGTTTTTGAAATATTTTAAAAAATTGAAAAGTTTGATTCAAAAGTAAATGAAATATTTTTTAAATTTAGGCTTCTAAAATCGGTCAAATTCCCAGAATCTACTGTTAATACATAAATAAAGTAAATTGCAGAAGGAATACGTTTAATTTTTTTTCCGTCAAGTTATTAATTTTAATACCGATTTTTTTTCTCAAAAATAAAGACAATCATTTTATTTTGATTGTAACTTCATTAGTTTTCATGCTAACGACTTCTACCGCCACTCAATTTAAAGTTCTTTTCAAGAACTTTAATGGGTGTTATATAAGTTTTCCTCGAAAAACCTTTAATTTTTCCGCTACAGGACGTTGAACGTTTCGATTACAGCTATCTTCGAAATTGACTTCAACTTCTGAGTCATAACTGGGGTTTCGGTACCACCTACAAAAATAAAAAAGCAATCTCTTTGCTATTTAGTTACCTTCATTTTTGCTTATGATCTTTTTTTATAAAACTTGTAGTTTTTGAGATATTCGCAAAAATGGCTCAAATACATGCATTTTTGGGCTAAAAGCGAACATGTTTAGGCGCAAATAACTCAAAAAGTATTGACTGTACAAAAAATTCTTATAGAACATTTTTGGTTAAAATTCGCCCCTCTATCGAATCGTGAGGTTTTTTTTAAATTTCCATCCTCCTAAGGGGTGGCTCCACCCCTAGGGTAAAAGCACACATCGGCACTATATAACTTTTGTTTCTTGGGCTATTCCCTAGTTACAGTTCAAATTGCACGTCAATCCATTCCATCCGAAAAAAATAGTAGCCAAAATGCTTCAGTGGCTGGACTATAATGAAAACGGAGGTAAATGCGATTGCCATTTGGGTGAGTGGCTGATGCAACTGGATTCACTATTAGCCATTTAAAAAAACAACAACAAGAGAAGAATCAGCGAACAAAAAAGAGATTCAAGATCCAAAGCGCGCCAAGTGTTGGAAACTTTTTATTGTCCACAGCTGTACCAGTACTTCTTAATGGAATTCCCACGGCAATGGCTCTGACACCTAGCCACGTCAGTGTCGGCAGTGTAACGGAATCAAGTCCGTAATTCCCGAACAGTTCCCGGTGCTGCGTCTAGTAAAACATAGATCTTAGTGAGAGATCTATGGCCGAGCTATACCTCTAGAGAATTGCCAGACGACGCGGGTACAGGACGATCAACATTCATCATGCCCTTAATTAACTGTCGCCTGTGGACGGGCTATCCAGTGAGGAGTGTAGATTAATGAAAATGTTATGCGGACTTGATGCTAGCCACCCCATGAAATATTTTATTCCCGGGAATCAGCCGAGGGACGCATAAAAAGGCGTCTGAACGTTCTCTCAATCATCCAGATTTTTGAGGACATTTTTTTGATCGCAGTCATGTCAAATTTTGTTGGTGCTAATGTAACTGAGCACTTACAAAAAACTTCCGACATTTATGTTGACAGAAAATAATTTTAATCAATTTTGTTGTAAAACTGGAATTAGTCAAAAGAATTCATGGTACTACTAACGGCAGCATTGGTTGCAGATTGTGGGTAATCTGTGGCAAACAAAGTCACTGGTCATTGTTTAATAATCTAATAGCTATTTATGTAATCCGTTATAAAATCATGTTTCATAACGTATTACATACAAGATTTTTTCTAATTTTGACAAAAAATGGGAAATACAAGTTTTTAATGTTGATCATAATTTAAATAACAATTATCTAGTACGTCAGTGTCAGTTTAAATTTTCTTGTAATTTGGCTTGACATTTATTTTAATAGACGCTGATCTATTCTGTGACGCTGATCACTATTACCATTTATTAGGAAAAATGTGTGATTTATGTTCAGATTCTGACGATATACCGAGCGATATCGAAGAAGCGGCAAGAAATGCCGTATGTTCACTGATTCCTGAAAAATCCAAAGCGGTATATGACTTGGCTTATGAAAAATTTGAGAAATGGCGTGAACAGAAGAAAGTAAAACACGTCAATGAGAAAGTACTATTGGCATATTTTGAAGGTAAGAATTTGAAGGCTTCTACGCTATGGACACAGTACTTTATGTTGAGAACTGAGCTGTCTTTAAAAAAAGGTATAGACATTAAAACACAATAGTTGACATTTAATAGACTGATCTATTCTGTGACGCTGATCGATACTATTACCATTTATTAGGAAAAATGTGTGATTTATGTTCAGATTCTGACGATATACCGAGCGATATCGAAGAAGCGGCAAGATATGCCGTATGTTCACTGATTCCTGAAAAATACAAAGCGGTATATTATTTGGCTTATGAAAAATTTCAGAAATGGCGTGAACAGAGCATATTTGAAAAGGCATTCTGATGGATACCACGCTAAGAAATCAAACGTTTTTTCAAAATTAAATACATTGTTAAGAAAATATTATTTTGGTTTTATTAAGGTATTTGTTATGAATTATTAATTTTGCCATTTTTTTGTTATGTATTGTGTGTTGCGTTATTTTGTATTTGTTTCTGTAATAAAATTTTTCTTTGTAAATTTTTTATTTTTGTTTTGATTAATTGTATTAATTAAGTAATTCAATACAAACCTTTCTTTTGTTTTACCTTGTACTTTTTCTTTATCCCTTGCTAGCTGTTACTCAGATGTTTGTATTATTTGAGATATCAGGAGTTAGTTCTATCATTCAAACACAAACTAGTTCAATGCAGCACGCCAGAATAAATACAGTTTTTAACTTTTAATACAATATTTATTTAAATTTTTAGTTGGATTTTTCAAAAAACAAAACTTCAACTTGTTGACTTAAATTGTGAATGGCTTCTTTAGATACTAATTTTTTTTGTTTGAACAATAATAAAGAATATTTTATTTATTTTTACCTTTTCTATTTTACTACAGTTTTATACAATACAAGAACTGTGCTTTTCATTAAAAAAATTTAGTATATTTTTAATTAGTGTTATTTATTCTATCTTAATTACTTGTCCGTGTATTGTGTTTTGCCTATCGTAAAATGCATACTTTCTTATTATTTACAAACTGATATTCATCTTAAAATTAAAATGTCTGTCCCTTTTTATATCTGTACCTTGTTTGAGCTCATCAAATTTTTGGAGTTTTTTAAAAATATGATTAAATGGCTTGTATTTAATTTTGTTCAGGTAAGTCCTGTTGTTATTATTTATCCTTTTTCTAAGGTTTAATGCATTAGTAATGTATTATTTTTAGGTTATAGCTATCAGTTTTATTATAATGCACTCTATTTTTCAGTTTTAGGTACCTGTTATCTGCTACTTGCAACTTTCCTTGTTGGAAATTATTTAGATGTCCTGTAGGTATACCATTTATGGGGCCACTGGAAACCTCTCTGGAAACTGCTTCATACTGGTTACGGAAATTCTTCCTTCGATGGCGAATTTTCTTTCTCTGGATTTTGAGAACAAACAATTTTCGACTTTGCTGGTGAGTTTAATTTACTTCCTTGACTGTATTTCTTGAACTTATTTAAAATTTATTGGAGCTGCTTCTCTCCTTTCTAGTTTTTACAAAACCCAAGCCGTCACTAATCAATAAACTTTTGTTTCTCCTCCTTTCTGGATTTTTCTGGTCTTAATTTTTCTTAAGGTCCCTTTAAAGAAATTCCAGTCCTTGTATGTCCTTTTTTTAACAACACTTTTCACTGCATTTCTTATAACTAATACATTTGTTACAAATGTCCTTTTATTTTTAATATACAATTCTATTACTAATTATTAAAATATTCCTTATTTTATGTTCTTTTTCTAGGTCATCTCCAGGTACTTGTAAAGCCAACTTTAGTTTTGACATTTGATAAAAAAATTTCATATATGAAGTTCATTTAAGATATCTTCATACAGTTACTCGTCTTCCCAAAATATGCATTCCAGATTCATCTATGGATATTGGGCTTTTATTTGATATACATCACTCTAGGTTTAAATTCTGTTTTCTCACTGTACTGAGTGTTAACAAGTGTCGATGTCATGCATTTTTTTAACAAAATTTATTTTGTATTTGTGAATTAAATTAAAATTATCTATTTTATACTATGTGATATTCTTAATTGTTACTTATTTTATGTTCAGAATCTTTATATTAACAATTGCATACTATTTTATTGCTTGCTATATTAATAATTAATTTTTATTTATGATCCAAAGTTCGGTCAGGTAATTTTTCATTCGTGATTCTTTGTGTACATTTCCAATTCGTTACAACATATTGCGAAGTTTTTGACGGGAGCGGATGATAATAATCTTCTAATGGCTAAGGTAACTAATAATTGCTTCATCTAGTTGTCAGTTTACTAATTCGCATTTTTTGCTTTAAATTGCGTTGGTTGTGGGAATAGCCGGTGCATGTCGGAAGTCAGAATTAACACTTTTACGTGTTGAAGATGTTACAGATGAGGAGACGTATCTTCGAGTAAATATTTCAAATACAAAAACTAATTCGTGAATCACCCAGGGAGATATAGAAGGACTAAATTTCGTTGACATTATCAGGAAGTATAGAAACCTATGCCCGGAAAATATTAAACACAATAGATTCTTTGTTAGATATAGAAATGGTAAATGTGGTGAAGAGATGTTTTAAAATCTTATGAGCTTTGACCTTCATATGCGCAGAAACATAATTCCGACCGTCGCCTAAATTATTCTACATCCTAAAAACATTGTACCTATTATTCACAGTTTTTCTCGAGCTCTAGCGTAAACAAGCCTTTGATCCGATTACAAATATCATAATAAAATGCCCTATTCTTTATAATTTTAATTTAAACAATAAAAATATATATAACGAACGTTCGCCAGTTGACTTTATTGATGCCCGAGCGCCTTAGCTCATTTCTAGTTGTGATGAGGCACGTGGTCTAATTCTTAGTCAATGTTTTCACAACATGCTTATTAGAAGAATTATGGGGATACGCCACGCCTTTCGCGCATTTCGCGGCTCATGAGATATTAAAAGATCTCTACAACCAGTAGGAATTAATACTATTGGTCAGTTACTAAAGATGATTGCTCAAATGATTGGTTTGCCGAATTGTGCATTATTCACGGGGCACTGTTTCAGAATATCTTCGGCTACTTTACTTGCAGATTCTGAGGTCAATATTTTAAAAATAAAACAACACGGCGTCTGAAAGTCAAATTCTGTTGCGGAAGGATATGTTGAAAATTCTATAGAAAATAAAAAAACAATTTCCGGCGATATTCTTGGAGAACAGAATAATACCAATAACATATCACGGAATATTACTGCAAGTTCAACAAATAAGATTTCTTCTGGAATTAGCTTCACTAACTGTACCAACTGCGTTGTGAATATTTATAATTAAATAATAATAATTAATAAATAATTAATAAAGTGTTATTCAAAAAATTACTGACTTAAATAAAAGTTACTATTATTTTTCTGGTGTATTTTGTTTAATTATTTTTTGCAATTAGTGACATAACGAACTTTTCGAAACCAGTTGCATAATGATTTTCATTATGTAACTAGTTACATAAAATAGAACGTTTTGACACTTGTTTTGATAACAAAAGGTGTTACTTTATATGTCAAAATTAGAAAAATGTACTTTGCTGAGTGAGTGTCATTTGTTTGCAGCAAAGTTTTGTTGTGGTTGTGTATGAAGTTTGTGTTTATTGTTCGTCGAATGATTTTCTACCATTTTAGAAATTAGATATACTTTCGTATTTTTATCATGTAATGTAATTATATGTGCAATGTATCTTAAATATTCCTTATTTTTTAATTGTGTTTAATTGTTTTTATGATTACCCATTCGGATCATGCAGTATTTTGTCCCAATCAAATATCTTAACAGCAAAGGAATGAATTGCAATTAAATGAGAATTATGGATTGCCTTCTACTGGTCTGTGGCCCCGAAAAGTTGGCAGCGACAGAAATACCGAAATACCAAACTCAAATACGCTTTGCGTTTTGGCTTTGATTCCCCCCGTTTCATAGCAACTTTCTCTATGATGAGGCATGTGAAGATCATTAAATTTATGGTAGTTCCGACTGCCATAGGATTCCGCTCAGGTTACCCACTATTCAACAGCAACTATACCGCCGATGTGCGAGGTTTATTCCCTTAATAGTGTCAATTAGAGGCTTATAATCTGTGCTCCCGTTTGTTTTGAGGATTCGGCGCGTTCATTTAAATAATAAGAGACCCTACCGTGTAAACAGCTACATCAAACTTAATTTAATCCGTGTGGATAAATCACGCACCCACAAGCTTTCATTATAACCGGAGATTCTTCCCGACAATGTAAACACCGACAAGGACATGCCGGTATTGTAGTGGGTAATAACGCTTCCGCGGGAGGGGGCGGCGTATTATGATGCTAATGCGTTCGGAAGCGTGTAGTTCTTCCTTATAAATTGTCATTAGAGGTTTATTTGGATTTGATACGACAATTTAGAAAGAAGGAAACAGGTGTTTAAGACATACATCAATAACTTTGATTGGAGGTCATATTCATACAATGGCTAGCTTTGCCTTTTAAAAACACATTTCGTCACAAATTTGTTTTCCCAAATTCCGTAGCAAAAGTGGCAAAAAGACTATTTTTAATGTAAAAATCAAAAGGGCCCCTGGCAATAAATTAAAATTCCATTTAAATACAAAACTAAGTTACGTTTTAAGTTTCATAAACCGACTTTCTAAACCCTTTTATGTTAATAACTTTCGGAGAGACAGAAGGTTAAAGTTATGCATTTTTACCCTTGACGAGATAAAAAATAGAATTTTGCAAAAACTATTGGACCCACAGCGCCCATCTTTCGCACAGTTTTGAATAACAATAAAACTCGTAACTTTTAGGCATATTTATAAAATTCCAACAAAATAACAACCAAGTTGAGGGTTGCTTTCGCTGTACAGCAAAAATAAAACCTCTCTCTCAACGATAATAATAAAGTATTTTATTGAAAACTAAGTTGTATAAAAAAAGAAGTGTCGACGGGGCGAGTGTTTGCTGGAGAGTCCGTCCTCGTGGTGTCGCTCGTAGGTATATGAGTAAGCATCTGGTCGCCGGCGCCAGTCCGCCGTAGACCCTTCCTGGAACGTTGGTGCGTCCGGCTGGCGTAATCCTTAAAAATGGGTCACTTGCGAACATGTGTACCCACAAAGTTATGTATAATTTAAAAAAATGCTGTTTTCCACGTTTTTTTTATGTTCTTTTGCCTTTACACAATTTATCCGATTTTAATCTATCAGGGGGCATTTTGTAGGTCTTTTTATTGCGCATATTTCGTCTGTTGAACACTTTTCTCTAAAATCAATAGTTTCTCAATATATTGGAGAAACTAATTTTCGACCCAAATTGTTAAAAAAAACAATGTTAATAAAAAAAATTGACTCATGAGATGAGACACCTTTTCTACTGTCTTTCCCTGCACATTTCAACAATAAAATAGCGGACGTCAATTCATCGATTTTTTTTAGTCCATTTACTGTTGTAGCGATGTGTCTATATAGGGTGTCTCACGGTGACGGCCCATTAAAATTATTTCAGAGACTACTTCGATTTGCTAAAAATTCCACAGCTATGCTCGCAAGAAATTACTTGATTTTAGGTGATTACACAAAAAATAGTAGATAACTTAAAAACTAGAAGATATACCGTTCGAAAGAGAATAAAATTGTGTATCAGAATATAGAAAAACATACAGGGTGTTCCATTAAAAAAAACCGACTTAGACTTATGAAGGTTTGAAGTTAACTAAACTCGGCATTAAATTTCTAGCACCCTGTATGCAATTAAACCACTTTGAAAGTATGGATGGGAAGCTTAGGGGTCTAGCTATACCCCTATAAATATTGTTGCTTTATCTTTCTTACTATAAAATACACATGCTTTGAAGCTAGTCACTGTTTCTCTCCATTTTTTTGAAAAAACTTAAATATCTCGAAAACGGTTAATTTTAGGAATAAGGAAACTTCATAAAAGTCCACCTAAAATAACACGTAGAATCCAAAATTGCAATAATATATAGGGCGTTCCATTTAAAATAAGCAAGTTGATGGCGACTTCCGGTATAACCGGAAGTGGTACGTGGACGCCATTATTTTAGTTGAGAAGGGCATGCCCGAAAACCCGGTATCGCAAATGTTCAAAATTCAAATCGAAATAGTCTCTGAAATAAACACACTTATTTTTAAGGACTTCCTTTCTTAACAAAATACTGGTATAAGGAGTGATAGTAGGTGGCAACTTTGGTTCTAAGATAATTTGAAAAACAAACGATGTTGTCTGAACTGCCTCTCGATTTGTTTTGATATAATATTTTGGTTGTTTACCCTTAAATAAAGCATTGCCCCCAACTCTCAAAGCGGATATTTATTGCTCTCATTTCTCCAGTTGTTTTATCTGGAGTACCAATTAAAGCGTTCCGCTGTATATCCTGTTTGATGAGGGATTTAGCCAATTTGCTACAGTAACAGACAAATAACCCCCGCTCCAGATAAACAACGTGGGTGTAGCAAAACAAATTTAAATTTTTAATTTTCGGTGCAACGATCTTGGCGTAGTGAGTCGGAACAAAGGGAATGACAAGTAGCGACGTTTGCGCTAATGAGCAAAAACGGCGCCGGCTGCTGCAATTACATTAATGAAAATTGCACCTCCACGATATAAAATATTCATAGAAAACTCTGGATGTGTCCGTGTGAGAAGCGTAGCCAAGTTTAACTTTCCAGGGAAAGGTGAATTTTAGATTAATGTTATGCGGAAAAACGATTGTAACTAGTTGAATGTATTTTGATAAATGTCGCAGTTTTGTTCCTCATTTGAACTGGACTTGAAATCACAAAACATCTCGGCGTACGAGTCTTGGAATCGGGAATTCTTATAATAATAATTGAATTTTTGTCTTTCATTTCATTGAATCTTCATCTCATAGTAGCTCATCTCTTCTTAAAGCTCTACAAACACCAATTATTAAAATGACCTGAAAAG